TCCGGGCATATGACAGGGCCTGGAAGTTCAGACTCCCATCTAGGAGGGGCAAGGGGTAGAGTACCGTTGGGGCAGGGCTGGGGCTGGGGGGTTGGGTGGAATTAGCCAACCACTTGGTGCCACCACTGCCCAGAGCTCACAGCCTCCTTAGACCTAGGGTGGGTGCCAGGGCACAGAGGGGAGATGTTATGGGAAAGCTTGGTTTCTAGATCTGGATCTGCCTCCACACTCCTGGGCCTTGCCTCCTCTCGCAGCCTCAGGATGCCCAACTATAAAATTATCTGTTCTCCCCCTGCTCATGTCTAGGGTGTGTGAGACTGGGGGCAGGCAGGCTATGAGGTACTTTGTGACAGGATCTGCTATCAGACTCTGACATTTGATTGTAATGAGTGTACAGGGGTGGGGGCACCCATTCAGGGCTCAGGTGACATCACGGATGGATGGATCCTAGTGGGCTGTTGTAGGTTGCCATAGACACCTGGGTGGGGTTCTCGGGCTGCTGCATCAGTTTCCTTGGCAACATGTGAGTGGGCCTTGAAGTGTGGAGGGCCTGGCTAAGGAAGCAAGAGAGGGTTTGTGCAGGACCCTCTGATCTTGATGTCCCCAAAGTAGCCAAGGGCTAGACTGAGGGGTGGCCTGTTCACTTGTGTCCTTCCTGTGGCCCTGGGGTCTTGAAGGCTTAGGCAACCTCATAATGGCTCTGGCTTCCCGGATGAGGTCCAGTGGCAAGAGGGTGTTGTGGTTTGAACCTCCCGTCAGGACGCAAGTCTCAAGAGCCAGCAAAACACTTCCCATCAGGAATCCCGGCTGGACTGGATGGCCACTTCTACCCACCTCACACGTGACCTTGCCACTGAAAATAACCCCTGAATGTCCAGCAGAGGGTAGGTATGTGGGGTGGCTGTGACCCTTCCCAGCAGGGAGCCATGCAAGGAATTAGGGCTGGGTTTCCCCTCAAGTAATCTGAACTCTTGACTTCAGCAGTGTTTCTTCATTGCCAAGGGAACTACATCCACATTAGGCCAGTCAGGCCCCAAGCATTCCCAGCAGGCCAGACACACAAGCCTAGGTATGGCCAGGGGCCCCAGGAGCCAAGAGCAGGACATGACTTTGAGACTCCCTTACTCTCATCCCACCTCCTGGTCCTCCCAGCTCTCTGGGCTGAGTTTGGCTGCCCAGAAGGAGCAAAGTGAGTCTGAACACACCTAGGACAGCCCGGCCTTCAAATCTCAGCTCTGCCACTTGCTAGCTATTTTACCTCTGTCCATTTACCTTGCATGAATGGACACAACCCTACCCACACAACAGCTCCCATGTCCCAGTTCCTTTGGTCTAAGGCTCAGTTCCTTCATTCATCCCATTGACCTGTACTAACTACCTTCAGTGTGTCAGGCCTTTTGCTGTGTACATGATAATAAGCACAAATCGACTTAGCTGGGCATGTTCATACATGTCTCTAATCCCTGGGTCAATCTCACCAGCTATGGTTTGTTGTTCCCAAGCCTGAGAAGTCACAGCCCAGAAATAGCAGAGCTAGACACACCTGACAGAGGGCTTCAGAGACCTAAAACTCCACCCCTATCTCATACCCATGTACAACAGCTGGAGTTCCAGAAAGTTGCCTGGGCACTAGCCCAGGATTCACAGATGGTGTCTCTACAGGCAGCCAGGAGCCACACACAGATGAGTCAAGACTGACAAGGGACTATCTGATATGCCAGCTGTGACATGAGCAGCTTGATGTCCCTTGTCCACCATGGCCTGTCTCCAGGAGGGCCAGCTGAATGACTCAGTGACACTCACCTCCCCAATGACTTCCCACCTCCAAGCTGAACACAGACACCGCAGACACCTTAGATGGTTGGGGATGTCAGTACAGAGGTATATACATGGTAAAACCCACATCTGGGTACAGATGGCTGGGGACACTCTCGGGGCCTGAGGGGCCCTGGCTGGTCACCATGCCTCTCTGAAGCGCTGAGGTTCTTCATCCGTGGAAAGGAGCGGGAGGTACACTGCCTGGAAAATTACCTGAAATGGGTGCAGATCCATTTTAAATCTCCACAGAGCAATCCCAAGTGATTGCCACAACTTTGCCCCATATTACACATGAAGAAACTGGGCAACATGGGCAGATGACTTCACCTCTCTAAGCATGAGCAGCCAGATCTTGGTTACTAGGTGATGAAGTCACTCTTTCCTGGAATTGGGGGCTGGGGGCATGGGGGCAGGCACAGGCCCTTCCATTCAGGCAACAGTACCGCCTGCTAATTGAGCAGTACCTGCTAAACTGCTTGGGTTCCTCTTTACTCCCTAGCTGAGGTCTTGGGGAATAAATAATTTATTTCAGAAGCTTGTTTCCTCACCTGTGAAATAGGGATAATAAAGGGCAGCAACTGCCACACAGGACTGGGTGGAGGATTGACGGACTGGGTAGTATATGCAAAGCCCTCAGTCAATGCCCACTCTCAGGTCAGGCTCAGTGTTGTCAGCAGACCCTCAACAGATTTTCGAAGAGCCTCTGGAAGTCTGCCCACAGTCTCACACCTGAGCTTTCGCAGGGATGAAGTGGCTAGGGCAAGGCTTCTTAATATCTCTACTTATCCCCAGGGAAAGAAACTGAGGCAGGCAATCATGGCATTACAGTTCCTAACTGGCTGATCCCAGATCTAAGCCCCAGGTTCTGTCCTGGTGACAGATGTGTTCTGGGCACAGGACTAGGGGCGGCAGAAGCCCCATACCTGAGCACCTGGAGTAACAGACATCTCTGGGGTGTTGGAGAGGGTGCTTCAGGTTCCTTTCCACAGAAAAATCTGCTGTCGCTGCCTAACCAGACCTAGTGTCACCAACAGTGAGACAAACAGACATCACACAGCTACCGGTGGATCCGAAAGTGTACATACAACACTCCTGGGCAAGGTTCTCATTAATAAACTCAGACCTGAACTCAATCAACTTCTAGTTTATAGGAAACATAACAAAGGAGCAAATCAGACTGTGGAACTTCTTCAGGACAACTCATCTGACTTTCAAAAAGTCAGTGTCAATAAAGATTAAAAGATAGGGAGTGGGAAACAGTTCTGGAAGAGGCTAAAGAGAGATAATAACCAATGCAATGCATGAAACTTCACTGGACCGATTTTAAAAAGAAAAAAAGAACAACAACAAAAAGGGGCACCTGGGTGGCTCAGTCGGTTAAGCATCCGACTTTGGCTTGGGTCATGATCTCACGGTTCATGAGTTCGAGCCCTGCATCGGGCTCTGTGCTGCCAACCAGCTCAGAGCCCGGAGCCTGTCTTCAGATTCTGTGTCTTCCTCCTCTCTCTCTGATCCTCCCCTGCTCACGCTGTCTCTCTCAAAAATTTAAAAAAAAATTTTTTTAATTAAAAAATTAAAAAACTACAAAAACAACTATGAATGACATTTTGGGGGAATTAATTAAATGATTGGATATTAGATGGCATTAGGGAATTTTTCATTTTTTGGCCAGATAACAGTACTGTGGTTATACAGGATTACCCTTAGGAGACCAGGATGAAGTACTTAGAAGTGAAGGGTCATGTGTCTGCAGTTGACTCTTAAATACAGTTATATTACGTTGCATAAAGCCAACACTGCAACATGTTAAGAACTGTTGAATATAAATGATTGGTGTACTGTTTTGTTCACTACACTACTCTTTCAATTTTTTTACTTCCAATATTTCCTAGAAATTTTTTTTTTTTACAAATAGTTTGTCAAGTTGGTTTCTATATAACACCCAGTGCTCATCCCCACAAGTGCCCTCCTCCATGCCCATCTCCCCCCTCCACACTCCCTACACCCATGAGTCCTCAGTTTGTTCTCAGCATTCAAGTCTCTCATGGTTTGCCTCTCTCCCTTTCCCCCACCATTTCTCCCCTTCTTCTCCCCCATGGTCCTCCATTAAGTTCCTACTAATCCACCTATATGTGCAAACATATGGTATCTGTCCTTCTCTGCCTGACTTATTTCACTCAGCATAACACCCTCAAGGTCCATCCATGTTGCTACACATGGCCAGATTTCATTCTTTCTCATTGCCATGTAGTATTCCATGGTATAGATAAACCACATCTTCTTGATCCATTTGTCTGTTGATGGACACTCAGGTTCTTTCCATGTTTTAGCTATTGTGGAGAGTGCTGCTATAAACATTGGGGTCCATGTGCTCCTATGCCTCAGCATTTCTGTATCCCTTGGGTAAATTCCTAGCAGTGCTAGTGCTGGGTCATAGGGGAGTTCTAGTGTTAGTTTCCTGAGGAACCTCCACACTGTTTTCCAGAGGGGCTGTACCAGTTTACATTCCCACCAACAGTGTAGGAGGGTGCCCGTTTCTCCACATCCTCGCCAGCATCGAGAGTTCTCTGATTTGCTCATTTTAGCCACTCTGACTGGCGTGAGGTGGTATCCAATATTTCCTAGAAATTTTTAAAAATTGCATCTTGGGGTGCCTGGGGGACTCAGTCAGTTAAGCATCCAACTTTGGCTCAGGTCATGCTCTTATGGTTTATGAGTTCAAGCCCCATGTCAGGCCCTGTGCTGAGAGCTCAGAGCCTGGAGCCTGCTTCAGATTCTGTGTCTCCCTCTCTCTCTGCCTCTCCCCGCTCTCTAAACATAAAAATTTTTTTGTTTAAAAAAAAAAAAAAAAAAA